CTATATTCTGCTCTGGGAAGCTCAGTGGGGGGAAGGGAGGGTGTTTGTGAGGGGTGGGGGATGGGGGGTTTTTTTATATGTAATGTTTAGTTTTTTATTTTTTTTTGTATGTTGTTTTTTGTTTTGTATTGTTTTTGTCTTTTTGTAAAATTTATAAAACTTTCAATAAAAAAAAAAATGAAATTCTGTTGCCTGCTCTCGAAAGAAGGTATATATCTACCCATACACATACATACCACGCTTATGCACATGCTATATACATACATATATAAACCTACCCCTACATATAACATATAAATATTAATCATTGTTCATTTTGAATAGAGGAAAGAAGAAATTTGAGAGTTCACAAGGTTGATGCTATATGGATCAAAACTGTGGTTGAATCTGGATGTTCTGCTTCAGATACCACAAAGCCTTCTCCCAGAAGGAAAACAGGTTGTGAAGAGAATGTATAGCATCCCAGAATGTATGTTAATGTAGTAATTTATATACTGCTTTTCTTCCATCATGATTCATGAAATTTCTGAATGGTCTCCCATCTAGGAACTGACCTAATCAGTTCCTAAATAGGAACTGGCAAGGTAGCTTCTTTATGAAACAGACCTGTACCTTAATCAGTTGCTTCCAAATATCAATCTCTTTATCTATGAAAAATAAATAGGTACTCATACTTACTGCACATGTAATTCCTTACTTAATTTATTCAGAAGGGCTGTCAAATATGCACTTAAAAGACTAATATACCCGCAGCTTTTGGAAATCAGCCTTTTCTTGTCTTCCTGTTTCTGTTTTTCTTTGCTTATCCTCTTCATTTTGAAGATGCTGTGCCAATTCTAGATCATTCAAGTTTCTTCCTATTGCGTGAAAAAATATTTAAGTTTTACCATATTTCAAAATGTTGAATATCTAATGTTCCTAAAATAAAGTATACATATTAAATAATTTCAGCAACATCTACAGTTTCAAATTCGCAGCATAATTCTGTGTATGAAATAACCTATACTCATTGAGGCACAGGATTAAAGTCTTAATTGTGCACATTACATTCATAAAGACATAATGAAAAGATGAACCAATCAATACAGTTCAAATAATTTTATGTATTTATTTACTGAAAACATTTATATAGCTGCTTATATTGAATTCTGATTACTACTCATCAGTGTAATATTACAAAAAATATAAACTGAAATCATCCTATTGCATATATATAAACTGGTTTACTTGATCAGGAAATCATATTACTTTACACTTGAAGCACTGTTATTAACTTGCAAGATGTAATTCTTCACAGTCATAACTGCTCTGTTTGTTTCTAAGGTCCATAATCCTCATGCCTGGAACTTAACTCATATCCTAAGTAATGCTCAATTATCGTCCTCAGTGAGATCAACCTTCCAGCTAGTAGAGGAAGAATTCAGGAATTTATCTTTCCCCTACATCTCTGAAACTCTCTTCCAGATCTGAAAAAGCTTCAGTGCAACAGTGTGGGGAGCATACAGTGGATGCCAGGAGGAAGGAAAATGAATCATGTATATTCCTCTTTCTCTTCTTCCAGAAGAAATGTAAGGTTGCTTTGAACTGAATAATTCTAGAAAATTTCTGAAGGTATAGCACAGCATGCAACTATCCTTTTCAGAAGCTAAGACTCATCACTCATTTCCTGGGCAGAACAATTTGTTTACATAAGGTTAAAAAAATATAATTGCTTAAGAAAAATAGTATTTATTATTTGAGAATGGCAGGGAAATATTTATGGAACTCTTATTGCACTGACATGGTATCACTCAGCTGGATAAAGCAGGAAAATCTTAAATGGATATTTCAGATGGCAACTTGGGAGATGTGATTCTCAATGGTTATATAGGGCAAGGAGTGTTATTTTTAGCTTTCAATACCAGAAATCTACTAATCACATGTGTCTTGTCCTATTAGATTTCATCTTGTATGCAAAATAATTTAAAGCCTTTTAAAAATGTATATTGCCTTATTTCAATGGCCCTTGATTGAAAAAAACAGTGACTCAATGGCTCAAAAGCCTTGAGGCAGAGGCTTGCATCTATTATTTAACAACTTTTTTCTACTCCTATGACATTTTATTATTTAAGCTGTAGGTTACTTATCTACTCTGAATACAAATGAGTATCTTACGTGCATAGTATTTCAGTGTCTATGAGACTCATTCTACCATATTAGAAGAAACAGCCAATTGACAATACTGAAGCATTTTTTCCAATTACAATATATTGTTTTATCAACACGTTGAATTACTTGATGTCTTATTTTAGGATCCTTTATTTTACCTTCTAAAATGCTGCATTCATCCAGGTGCAGTTCAACATGTTCTTGCAGAACTGGATAATTGGTACAAATAAGGTGACATATTGGACATTCATATAGAGGTGGACCACTTTCTGCATTGAAAAAAAATATTTAAAGACTAAATGACAATTTTACTGGCCATTCCTATAAAAATCAAAGAAGCCAAACAACCCCCAAACCCATGAATTTTTAACTTTGTATTAAGAGTCATCTTTAGTGTCAGAGATGACTTTGAAGTCCAGTGAGATTTGACAGATTAGCGGCACTTCAAATGAAAAAGCCACATTTTCCACAATGGTGTTATTCAAAGACATACAGTAATGGCAATTAAAATGATTGTCTTAAACAAACCGATACTTAAGCACCAGGAACAGCTGGCAGTCAAAGTTTGGCATTTTAATCTGTACAGAACAGATTTTGCTGTATAAAGAATCAATGCAGTGTATCAATTAAAGAGACTAGGAGTGGGGAAACCCTAGTCGTTCCTCAGCCACAAATTTGGGGCCACACAAATCTACCTCACAAAGTTGTTTGCTGTAGGAAAAGAAGCAGGATGAAGAGAGAGTGTCATGTGCATTGCAATGAGCTCTTCAACAAACAGCAGGAAATATAGTGCCGAGACGCAGTTTACACAAAGCCTCATAAGAGATGCAAGATATGTGTGTCTACTATCAACAGGAGCCGTGGGTATCCTGTGTAAAAAGATACAAGATCAAGACTCAATAGTAAGCAGGTGTTTTGCACACCCTTATGGCTACTTTGAGGAAATATAAATTTGGGGAAGGAAACAGGGAAGAGTCCCTGAGCCTTCGCTACCACCGTCTTATTTTAATGCACCTTTTGCTTAAAATGCAATCTAGATCCGGTTGCAATTAGAAGGACGCATAAGGAAGATGCACCAAACTCCAAGGGCTCGGGAGAGAAAACAGAGACTCCCCAGAGACACAATTCCATCACACACCACTTTGCATCTCTGCAACAGCCGGCCGGCGCTTCGCCCCTTAGTAGAGTGCTGGCAGATGGAATGCTGCAAATGGAACTCAGCTGTTGTTTCCAGACCGCCAAGCCTCGCAGCGTCGGAGGACGAAGGAGGGATGGTTGTGCATTCCCGCTTGACTCACCAGGAAGTGAAGACAGAGGAAGAGCGCGAGCACCGACAGGCGGGCTTCCCTGCCGACCTCCCCTGGACACGTCCATTAGCCGGCTCTGCGCGGGACAGCCCCGAGTGGCTCCTCCTTCTCGGAATTCAAATAAGCCACGCCCCTTTAGAACAAGCCGAACAATCGCAAACCCTCCTGAAAGCGTCCCGCTGCTCCGAAGCAAGCGGAGGTGGAGACTGCGCGAGCGCGTTCCTTAATAAGGGGTGTCAAACTGGCGGTCCGCGGGCCGGATGCGTCACGCGTGGGCCACGCCCACCCCGGCTCCGCAAAGGGAAAAATCATCACGATACGTCACGACATGTCACATGACGCGATCGAGTTTGACACATATTTAAAAAATATGTGCTGTCACGTGTGTTTTAGCCCCGTAAATAATGTAGCGTCAAAACTCGTTTCCTAAAAATTGCTTTGCACATAGCTTTGAGTTTATAGCTTCTTGGCTTGTACACCTGCTACTCTGTGATGGGAGCTGTCACTACCGGGTTTCTATGGTTTCTCGTTCACGAGCTTGCTGTACGTCTCTATAGGCAACGCCACATCGCGCAAAGATAAATTTTGAAATAAGCACGTTCAAGAGAATAACCTAGTCAATGATTGTCAGAATGATATATTAAAAGCAATCACTATGTTGGTTTAGGAAAAAACATTCATCGTGTTATTTTAAAGGGTTATTACCAGGATTATATGAAAGGCAATTTTTGTATTTTTAACTCCGTAACGACCCCGAGCGAGAAGGAAGGACTCGGTGACGCTGGTGATGAGTGCATTTTTAAGAGACCTGAAGGAACAATTAAGTATTGGAGAACGTCATGGACAATATCTATGTGGCTGCTAGGAATCGAAAACTACTCGAAGGCACATAATCATCCAACAGATTTTTAGTTTTTAACGGAGAGGAAAAAAATAGCGGTCGGAAGTGGCAAAAAGGGAGGGTTACGAACAGGAGACTTTCACTGTGTGAATGAAGCAGATGAGCGGCTATCCAATAAAAGCTTAGCGTGCAAACACTCGGTTCCTTGCCGGTTTTAAAATTAAAGCCGATTAACTGAAACAGTCAATACAGACGACTGTATTTAGACAATGCGTTTTGCATTTACATTCCAGAGTGGATAGGTTAAAATATTAGCACATAAGCTCTCAAGTCAACGGTTCCCGAAATAATTGAGCGTCTTTCCAAGATCTATCCCATCCCATCCCATATCTATCTATCTATCTATCTATCTATCTATCTATCTATCTATCTATCTATCTATCTATCTATCTATCTATCTATCTATCTATCTATCTATCTATGGAGTTTTTTGGGAAACTCGGCGCAGTTCAACCAATTCGCAGCGCCTTCGCTTTGTGCGCGCAGGGGACACTGGGAGAAGAGGCGGTGCCCCGCTTGGCGTTCCGTGCCCTTTGGGCCGCCATCTTCAATTACGATCCTGATTTCTCTGCGGCGGAGGGCCAGTGGCGCCTGGGGGGTCGCCCTCCGATGGGTACGTGGACGTTTGTGGCTGTGAGGTGAAGGACGAACAGACGCGGGATTAACTATGGCGTTTCTTCATTGAGTCTAATTGGGAAACATGGCCATTAAAACCGAATTAAGCTTATTCGGGAGAGGCAGGGATGTGCGCGTCTCTTTCGCCTTTCCCCGGCGCTCGAGAAGCTTCTCTGAAATAACAAAGCACCCAATGCAACTGGGGAGAGGACAGTTATTATTATTTGCACATTTTCCTTCCATCTCCTCCGGGCCGGCGGCACTCACCCTATCTTCGACTTGGCGCCTTTGTGCCTGGCAGAATTGGCAAGTAATAGTGGGAATCATGCATGTTTACTTAGAGGTAGCCCAGATTAGAAAATTCGTAGGATCCATGGCCCAATGAACCCGGGTAGGGACAGCTGTCTGTGCATTTTTTTTTCTTGCTCTCCGTGCAAGAAAATCCATGGCAATGCCATTGAGAGAAATAAAAAATTGGAAAAAATAATTACCGTAACAGCAATTTCTCACGCATGTGATCAGGGATTACGGTGTAGGGCCAGGAATGCAAAAAATGGTGAGCATCTGGCCCGCTCCTGTAAACAGCTGATGCAGGGCTAGATAATTGTTGAACTGCACTTCCCAGCATCCCTAGGAAGTATAGCCAAAGCCAGGGGATGCTGGGAATAGTAGTTTAGCAGTAATTTCTCCCCCTCCCGAAAGGAAAAAAAAAATCCTAGCCTGGGCACCCTTCTTTTGGAGTGCCCCAAATTCAGCTTCTATACTGAACGTTCATAGACATGGCAGAGTTTTTAATACTCCTCCAGCCCACATTTCTTGCCTCTGCTTACCCCTTCAGGGAACAGTACCCAGCTCTGTCTAGTTTAGACAAGGGAAGACCAGTTAGGGAGAGAAGAGTTTGTATATTTCATTGTAATGGTGAAAGTTGTTCAAATGCTTTAGTCAAGAGAATTTCCAGAGAAACACCCTTAAGTTTGGAAACAGTGAGGCTTGAGTATTTCTCTCTATTGTAGCTGCTTCAGACCTAGAAGGGAGCATGCCTGTTAACATTGAGGGTTGCATCCTTCTTGATTTTGAGGGTTCATTTGTTGAAAATGGTCATCCATAGCTCTACAAAATTTTGGTCCAGCTTCTGTTAACCCATGGTTTAATTTACGACATTGTATTACAGATATCTCAAATCTATGTAAAGCTTCTGGTTGGTGTAACATTTACCACTGTAACTGTATGCTTGATGATGAGCCTCTGAAGTTTTTAATTGATTCAGTTGTATCTGACAAGATGCAAACATTTTCTCCTTATGATGAGATCAGCTGCCAATATACAACACACCAAACTATGCTCTGTGCTTCTTTGGGATTTCCCTATGCAAATAATATAAACATGAATTTCAGATAATCCTTACTTCTTTCTTGGAGTTTTGTTGAATGTGCCCTTCTCTATATGAAGCATAATTGTTTCTCACGAAGAGACCAGAATCGTAGAATCTGATATTTAGGGATGTGCACTTTGTCTTAATGCTTCTGAACTGCTGATCATTCACCCGTTGGAAGTTCTGTGCATTAGTTAATTTGATTTTGTATTTTGTGCTGCTATAAACAGGTCTGTTCTGGTGTGTTGTTGTTAGTTTCAATCATGCTGCTCGGATATTGTTTCTATATTCTAAATATCAGTGCTTTTTGGACCTTGCAATGGAAACAAAGTGAATTGATGTTCTAATTATAAGAGTTTTTTTCAGTTATCCCATACATTTTAAGAATTTTACATACAAATTAGGTTAATTCAGATATTCAGTTCCAGTTTTGATTTATTTAGAATTAAGATCCACTTAATGTAATGACACTCATTACTATATTGATATGTTTGTGCAGAACAGAATTAAAAAAGTGAAATAATTTGTCTATGCCTATATATTTTTGTTTATGTCTTTGACTTACAATTTTATATCCACTTACCTGGGAGAAAGTTCTTTAAAAGCTTCTTTCTTAGTAGCAGATATATATAATACAAATAGTATTTGAACAGCTAATTTTTTTATCAATTCCACATGATAAAATTTGTTAGTATTCATATAAATATTTAGAATATAAAATGATACCAGATCTGCTGTGGCATTGTTTGTCCTGAAAACAAACACAAATGGAAAGTGCCATTCAAATAAATAGTAATAGCAATAAAAATGGAGGAAATACTTTCTGCATTGAGAGAAAAATTAATGAGTATTAATTAAAACCTTGTTTGAAGTCTCTAGTCTGTACAAGCACAATTGGACAAGTTACATTTTCAGCCATAAAGTCAATATGGACAAATTATGAGAAATAAAATAGAACAACTCTATGTAGCAGTTGCAGGCGCAGATGCAGTCTTTGCACACTGTCGTGTCATTAAGAAACATTCATATTTTGAATTCATCTATCACATTTTTAGATTGCACCTTTGCCATTTTTCAACATTCACAATATTGAATGTTTCTTTTCATCATTATCAATAAGAATAATTATTTTGTTTCTCCATACAATGTCATTAGCTTGATGTAAATCCTATTGTTCTTTATCGCAGATAACATGGCAAGCCCAGAAAAAGATAATTACAGAATGAAAAGTTATAAAAACAATGCTCTCAATCCCCAAGAAATGCGAAGACGAAGAGAAGAGGAAGGCATTCAGCTTCGGAAACAAAAAAGGGAAGAACAAGTAAGTCCTCATTTAAATCATAGCTGAGCAATGACTGTCGTAAAGCCCCTTAAATTGCTTTTATTGGGGGAAATGATTTATGGTCCAGATTTGATCCCTGGCTATCTACTTTCTTTCATTCATTCATTCATTCCTCCCAAAACAGCTTATGAGCAATGTAGTTCATTATAAATAAAATGCAGTAAATTTCATTGAAAGCAAATTTCTAAAATTCTTCTCACAGGAAGATTGACTTGGTAGTAATAGCCATCTTGGATGATGCAAATTATGGTTAAATTCATTCTTGTCTTTAGAGATGTACTGTCATAACTTTTTTTTTTTGCTGACACAGAATAATTTTATTTGTTTCTTACATATATCTTACTTTTTAACTTGAAAGGTTCTGAAAATGCCCTTAGACTTAAAAGATACAATATAGAAGGAAATGAGGGTGGAGAATGAAAAGAATTTAGAAAAAAATAGATAATAGAAAAAGGGAGATTTTTTTTAGTGCCCATCAAATAAGTGATAACTGTATTTCTACTTGCATTCGCTACAAAAGGAATCAGAAGTTTCTATTTTTATTTGTACTTTCAGCAGTTTTGTTTTTTCTCATTTTCCTTTATTCTCTATTAGTTTTTGATAGTTTTTATCTTTTTGTTAAAACTTTCAATAACATTGATTAAAAATAATATTACAAAAAGAATGAAAAAGATGCTATGAGATGTATCTAGTTATTATTCTGCTTGTATTTAGACTATTTATAGTGAAAATGTGTCTATAATTGGTTTTTATTTTTTGCCCAAAAGTGTTATTTTAAGGGATATTTTTAGCCTTGCATAAGAAAGTATTTGAGACTAAGATGATTCTTGAAATATGCTTAACATATTTTGGAAACGCTTATTTCTAAAAGAGCTAGGGTTTTTTTTTTATCACAAAGCACTCTTTTTATTTCTTCCACAATACTTCCCATTGTACTTATTTGTTTTTCCTTTGCTTATATAATATTGTCTGAAAATGATATCACACTGAATTAAAATGCAACCGGTATATACAGTATAATCCTAAATTTAGTACATATTCCTAAATATTCATCAAGCATCTTGTTTATAAAAGGATACCCAAAGTAGGATTAAAGCTAATACAGTAGTTAATGCATTGTTGATTCAGTCATGTTTCAAGAGAAAACTTCAAGGCTTGATCAAAAAGTGAGAAAGCAACAGAAAAAAAATGGTATGTGTGATTTATATAGTATCTCTTCCTCTTCCACAAATAATCCCCAACACAACGTGTTTTTCTTACATTTCTTTTAAGTTATTTAAACGTAGAAATGTTTCTCTGCTGGCCAGTGAAGAGTCAATGCAGGAGAGTCCAATCCAGGATCCTGATGTGAGCTCTACTGTTCCAATTCTAGAGGTAGGAAATCTGCCACGTGCCTTAAAGCACATTTGCAGATCTGGCTAAAACTTTAGGAAATTATAATTATTTTCCATTTTTAGGAAGATGTGATTACATGTGACATGGTACAGATGGTTTTCTCAGATGATCCTAGTCAACAACTTGCAGCAACCCAGAAGTTCAGAAAGTTACTTTCTAAAGGTAAATTTTAGACTTAGTAAATTTTAGTTTCGGACTTTGCATTAAATTGGAAAACAGGTTTTAACAATACATATGAAGAGTAGTTAACTTGTTTTTTTAATCTCAAGTGATTGTATTGTACAGGAATAGTTTAATGCCAAATGCCCAATTACAAAATGAAAAAAAACCCACCCCCAGATAGAAAAGAAGAGCCACTTTGTACTTTGTATGGATTCCTCTCTGTTGTCCCACTAGTTTAACTAATACAGCAAAGCTGCTGATGTCACTCAAATTAAAGTTGTTGGTTTTTTGTGGAATAAAAGTTAAAATGGAAGCTAAAACTGATTAAGGAATGGCTTTTGGAAATGTGTGACTTACCCTACTAGAAAAGGCAATATTCTCTACTAATTAAAAGATGAAGCAATGTGTACTATAGTTTATCTTGTATTTGATATAATATTAATTGATATTAGTAAAGCAGTGACTATTATCATTGTGATGAAGTTTAATGTGTAAGATAGAGTTTTATTTTATTTTGTTTGGTTTGGGATTTTTTTTATTTCCCCTTTCTGGTTTCTATCTCTTGTTTTTGAGCAAAGAGTACCGTATATGCCGGCGTACAAGGCGACCCGGCCTATAAGATGACCCCCGTCTTTGTCGTCGAGCCGCATTCCTAGAACGTCATCTTATACGCCAGAAACTACCAGTATTTCTGGCATATAAGACGACCCCCGTCTTTGGCGCCGATTTTAGCGCTTGCGGAAGTCGCCTTATACGCCGGCATATACGGTAATCCTTTTTAAGGATTGTTCAGCTTACCTTTTTTTAGCTACTTTTTAAGAAAAAAATAAATTTGCTCGTTCCATGTTATATCTATCAAGTGTTTTCAAATGATTTTTTTAATAAAACAAGCTATCAGCAAGCTTAGTTTGGAAAGAGGCTAATTAAATAACTGCTTGATGGAAATAATTAATATATCCACACACAGGTTTCCTCCTCTAGTATGTATATGGTACATCAATACTATATTTAGTGAGCAAAATCATGGAGATGGAAATAGCAAGAGAAAGAGAGAGACTCTGCTTCTTCCCACCAGTTCAGACATATCTGCAGTGCACTAGAACAAGTTTATTTTGAATTCAGTCTTCAAACACTAAGCCTTAGAGTAATTTAAAAGGCTGAAGAGGCATTGTCATTGTTTAATCATAAGAAGACATAAGTGCTCTAGTCTCTATAAAGAGTTTGGCCCCAAAGGGTGCACTATCTTTATGTCTGTTTTCACAAATTAACCTACATGCCCTCCCTTGTTTATAAATACAGCCAGGAATGTAAGTAAAATGTAGGACAGATCTTTTCATTTTTTAAAGCTTTTGTGTAAGTTGGCACTTGACTAAAGGGAAGCATGTTTTGATTGCTTTCTTTCTTTCAGCTGTTATTTAAGTTATTAAAGTATACTTTGATGGAGTATCCTCTAAGCTGCTGTTGATCTCTGTTAGGTCTTGAGGTTTGTCTGGAAAGCCTTGAGTACACCATTCTGAAGTTTTCTTGCATCCTGTCTACCCTCAGTTTATAACTCTTCATTCAATAATAATTGATTTGTGTGATTCACTCGGGCAACAGATGGCAGTGGCATTGGCTCAAAGGAGATTAGAAGCTATGCTTTCATGGCTATTACCATCATACACAAATGAAATCTTCCCATTCATAGTATGTTAACTGATTATTAAAGTTGAGAAGGAGCAACACAAAAGGAACTATTGCTTAGGGACTTCTTAGAACAGGGTTGTCAAACTGCCGGCCCATGGGCCGGATGCATCATGGCGAAACCGCACCCATCCCATTGCAGGCAATGGGGAAAAAAAGCCACGATACGTCGCCACACATCATATGACATTGCGAGTTTGACCCCCCTGTCTTAGAAGCATCACACTGATCACGTTTTTTGACTTACATATTAGCCAATTTGCCAGACAAAGTGCTTTGGCTTATTCCTTATGTATGACAGATGGTTTACATTTGTTTTCTGTATTATTTCTGAGAGATTTTCTCACAGCATTTTAATGTTACCATACAACAGTGAGTTGGGTTAGATTTAGAGACAGAATGACTTCCCTAAGGCCAATCAGCTTGCATAGTTTAAAATGGGGACTTTAATTTGATTTATCTGCAATATTCCAGCAAGTTCATTATGATAGCTGTGCTATTCAGTGCTCTCTTAATTTTGCTTCTTAATTTTTTCCCATTGTACTGAACTTATATGTAAATTGTTATTGGATTACTTTATGTTTCATTTCAGAACCTAATCCTCCAATTGATGAAGTTATTCAAAAAACAGGAGTTGTGGAGAGATTTGTCAAGTTTCTAGAAAAAAATGATAATTGCACTCTTCAAGTGAGTTCATAAAATAATGTGAGATACATTTGGGGGAAAGGACAAGGAATTAAAATGTTATATCTTACCAGTAGAATATGAGGGGAAGCTTTGCTTCTCTCTCTCTTTCTCTTTCCCCATCATTTGTTAAATATTTTAACAGTTCCATAAGTTAAACGGGTATTAATCCATATTATGTCTTGTAGAGGGAAAACAATTTAAATTTGGTTCCAGAGTGAGCATGTTATTCCCACAAGCAGATAATTTTTTTAAAGATATTGAATAATTTAAGACAACGGCCCCCAACCTTTTGGGCACAAGGAACTGGTTACTTGGAGAGAGGTTTTCCATGGACCGGAGGGGGTGTGGTTTTGTGTGCTGCCTGCATCCCATGGATGGGACTTTGCTTGTTTGCGCAGCCCATTTTCTGGCATGCCGCAGACCAGTGCCGGTCTACGGACCAGTGGTAGGGAACCCCTGATATAAGAGATAGATAAATTGAGACAAACCTGGATTGGGAATTTTGTTTGCTTGTTCTGGGGCCATAGTTTCCCATTATTTCTCCCAAAGTTTCAAATGTAAGTTGTTCCTGTTTGTTGAAATTATTTAAATGTTATTAAAGTATGAGCATATTTTACTATTCTCCAAGACCGTATTTATTTTGTGAGATTGATTAAGGCAAAGAGGTACGGTATGCTTAAGATTTTTATGCCACACAAATACTAAAAAAATCGTTATTTCACTACAGAGATTTATACAGTTGAAGGCTATAGCCTGGTATGGGGGAAAAAAGCCCCATAGAAAATAAGCCTAGAGAACTGATTGTAAAATAAACTGTTAAAAGTCATATTTTTATCTTCTAGTTTGAAGCAGCATGGGCTCTTACAAATATAGCATCTGGAACTTTCTTGCATACCAAAGTAGTAATTGAAACTGGAGCAGTCCCAATTTTTATTAAACTATTAAATTCTGAACATGAAGATGTCCAGGAGCAGGTAACTTTTTGTGAATTTTTTATTATGCAGATTCAATTGTGCCATAAAATGTTGTGAGGTCCTCAAAGTTAATTTTGGGAAGGAAAAAAATAATACATATTTGAATAAAAACAAAATTGAATTAGATGTAATTCTAAACTACGGTTATGATTAAATACTTGACTCATATATTTGTATATTCCCCACTGTTTTGTTTTTAAATGGCACTATTAAGAAGATATCAGAGGTTTTTGCTTCAGTTGTTAATTTATTGTGATTCACAGGAAGCTAGAACTGGGGTTGAATGTGTTTAGGTTTAGAAACTATGCTTTTGATATATCCCAGTGGTGGGATATGCTACCCAATTCTCAATTACTCTGGGTGGATTGTAAGCCAGACAATGTCTGTTGTACCCATCACATGAAGGATTTCTTCTTCTTCTACTTCTTGTGCCATATCCGTTATGGCACACGTTGGCGATCATGTTGGCAATCCTGTTTTTATTAGCAGCCTCACGAAAAAGTGCTGTTGAGTTTTGTCCAAACCAGTCCCTTAGATTTTGAAGCCACAATCTTCTTATTCTGCCTGGACCTCATTTGCCTTCAATCTTTCCCTGGAAGATTAAATGGAGTATGCCATATTTTTCTGGGTGTCGCATCACATGTCTAAAATATTCTAATTTTCGTTTTTTAATTGTTTTGGTGATTTCCCTTGGCTTTCCCAGGCGGCTTATCACCTCATTTCTGATCTTGTCAACCCAGCTTATACGTAACAGCCGCCTGTAAATCCACATTTCAAATGCTTCTAGTCACTTCAGGTGGCCTTCTGTCAGAGATCAACTCTCTACTCCATAGAGCAGGATAGGGGAAAAAAAGCATCTGACAAGCCTGATTTTCAGTCTTAGGCTTATGAAGGGTTTGGCAGTGGCCTTCTCCAAGTGTGTGTGCTTCCCTTTAACTGTTGTCTGATGGCATCTAGTTCACCAGGATGCAAGAGGGAAAGAATCAGCTGCTTGGTGATCTAAACCATTTTTCCATTGTCTCATAACAGTTTGACTTAACCACAAATTATGACAGCTTAGAGATACTGTGGCTAGTTTAAACTCGAAGCAAAAACTTTCAACCTCCTATTTGTAGTGTACTGAAAGCTAGAATACAGAATAGGACCTTTACAAGTTCAAAACACACACGTGATGTTGAACATATAATGTTGTACGATCGCATAATGCTATTTCATATCATAAGACAAGTGCAGTATCTTGCATATTATAAAAAGTATATACTATTTTAGTTACATTGTTTTTGCAATGTATTTTCTTATTTCAGATGTTTAGGCTGCAGTCCAAGCTGGCTTAACTTGGGATCAAAATATACACAAATCACTGACTCGTGTAAATATTGTTAGGCTTGCATTATTAGAAATTTACAGATGTAGCAATAGTTTTGGATTTTGATATACAGTATTATTTCAGTATGTTTGTTTCATATCAGTGACTGTGTACTTAGTATGATGAAATACCGTTATTTGTCTACGCAGAAATAAAAGAATCCTTGCTACATAAGCTCATGGATGAGAATGAATTTCCACTGTGAGATGGGCAACCATACAAATAAATACATGTTGTATTTACTAAGCACACATTCTTATGTCCTACAGAAAGTTGCCTCCACTGGTGCTTATGAATGTGATGTTGGTGGGGACATTCAACTATGTTCTGTACCAGGAATACACTCAAGACACTGAAATTAAGTCAATTCGCACATGTACTAATCTCCCTTTGTAATTATAAACTATTTAGATTGGTCCCAGTAGGCAAATATTTCGTGCTTAATTATTTTGAATTTCCAGAAAAGTAGATATATTCTGCAGTAGAAAAATTGCTGTCACTTATTTATTAAATTATTTTATTGGATTGGTAAGGCAAAATGAGTCAAGGTGGTGTACACAACAAGTTAAAACTGCAATAAAAGAAAGAAAATATAAGCTATGTAAGGGATATAGATATTAAAATAACATATAAATAGATTCAACGGCCCTGGGCCTGCTGGAAGAGCCTGATCTTCCTAATGTTGCTGAAGGATAGCAGGGGTTGGATCATGCAGACTGTTTAGATGTCACCCACTCTGAACAAACTCCAATTGTGATTATTTTATATTAAGAACAAGGCTTTTACACTGGTTGCTTTGTACTGAATAATTTCTTTTTGCTTCTCCCACTCCATGAGTAAAATAAATTGGTTTACTGTTATATGTTGTTATAGATATTTCCATATCTGTAACAGTTTACAATTATGCCTGAGACCAGTGAGAATTGGCACATTGATTCTTTCAGTGATTGCTCCTGTCCCAAATAATCATTATCTTTTGCAGAGGTTCTAACAATTAACAATACAAAATGTTTTGAGGTTCAGCGGCAGGCCTAAATTTTCATGATGGTGGTTTTTTTTTTTCATCAGCCATTTAAGTAATAACATTAATTATTCTCTTGTATACAGTTTATATACTTACGCATAAATGGTAATTTTGTTATCAACTGTATAATGCATAAGAAGTAAAGACGAGTATTTAAAAGGCTTAAAAAGAATTGTGAATATTAATTTACATATTTTTTTTCTAAGGCAGTGTGGGCCCTTGGTAATATTGCTGGAGATAATGCAGAATGTAGAGATTATGTATTAAGCTGTGGAATACTTCCTCCACTCTTACAGTAAGTACAGATCAACAGCCTGGCTACACAATTAAAGCATCCAGGTTAATTGCTAACTTATAAACCCTAGGTTGGTAACGATCAGCGCAAGGCTTCAGATTAAAAAAAAAAAGTGTTTTGGAGTGGGTAGGATTCGAAAAATAGCACTTCTCTGCAATTCTTTTAAACATCTAACTCATTTGGCAGGCGTGTGATCTTGACAAAAGGCATAGTTGCTTTACATAGTTGCAAATGTATTATATTATTTTCAAAGCACTGTCCAGCCTTTGTAATTATTAATAAGGTTTCAACCATCTACTCATACCTTTGGAATTAAGTACCAATGGACTCAACAGAACTTCTGAATAGAGATGCATAGGTTTGCAATGTCAGTTATATATATATTTGGTGTTAGTATACTGACCCTAAAGCATCTTGATGCTAGAATATTTTAAATAGCAGTTTTTATTAGAATAAAAGTTCTCCTAATTATTTGGCTAAAAATTATAAAACATGTTTCTTCTAATTTATTATTTTTCCAAAAATTAATAATTTCTGTGGATTCTATCCAATTTTGTACTTAACAAAACAGAGCTGCTCCTCTTTTTCTTTTTCAGTTCTGTTCCATGAATTCCCCAATTTGCTCAGATAAGGTCACAAGTAAACTAGTTTGACTCCTATCCCAGGAGATAGGGATAAAAAGAATCTGTTCTGCTGCTAAAATGCTATTCCATCATTACATGGACAACATTGAATATAACCATATTAATTAAAGTGAAGTTATTTTCATGTACATGATGAAAATAATCATTCAAATTTTGTTGTTGTTGTTGTTGTTGTTATTATTATTATTATTATTATTGTCTTGGCAGACTCCTAACACATTCTAACAGGCTCACAACTACCAGAAATGCAGTCTGGGCACTTTCAAACCTCTGTAGAGGCAAAAACCCACCTCCAGATTTTAGCAAGGTAAGGCCTATATTTCATTCTATAAAGATGCTATAATAATAAAAAAAATCATACATTGCTTCGTTCCAGTGTATCTTCTAGTATAAATTAAACTTTTTCAAAGTGTCAACTATTTATAGGCCAGGTAAAGATTCTTTTTGTTATAGAGTGGAACTGATATAGTACACTAACTTTGTTGATGATGATGTTCATTTTCAGAGTAGAAAACCAATTAAATTAAATTAAATGCTATACTTGAAATATTCTGAAAGTGGCTATCTATAATATTTTTGGTTCAGTCCCAGCTGAAGTTATTTTACATTGGTCTCAGCTCAGTAAAATACAGATTCAGCACATATGTTCATGTGGGCACATGCACACACCCAGCAGTGCAGTTACAATGTAACTAAGAAAATTTAAATATAGGGCACATTGTAATGACTATTTGTGGACTAGTAGAATATACTCATAAGTTTTTAAAGAGTTATAGTTAAAGGATAATATCAAATACCCCAAAGCTTTCAATTCACTGATTCATCTCTTAGGAAAGCAAGTTTGAAATACTTCCTAACTGGGTTGACTTGTTTCACACCCATTTTGGAAATGGGACCTGCCACTGATCTGTAATAAGCAACAAGAAGATTCCTGTATCTTCAAATGAAAGAGCCATATCTTCCAATGAGCTCACTTTCCTATTGCAGATTGCCCATAAACATTGTGTATGTGTATAAATATGTTGCTTCATGGTCCAAGTTTCCTTCACTGTCAATCTCACATGCCATATCTGTCCCTGAGCTATCCAGCATTCCTTTAATTAGAAACTGTCACTCTGCTATCGGTTTCAGCATTAGTTGTACCTGTTCACTCCTATTATCTTATATTAGAGATATCACTTAGTTTGTATTTAGCCCAGGGCATTACACTATTCTGTGACATAAAGAGTGTTCAAAATATTTTTAAGCTCTTAGGAATTCCTTTTTTTCCTTTAGCCAAATGGACTCCATTTTTTCATTGCCCAGCTAAGGTTTGCTTGGGCTTCTTGAGCCTTGAAAAGCATATTCAGAACTTTTATTTCTCTAGGTCTCATCAATAGGCTGTAGTCTGCTCTACATATATCACACAGACCTACCTATTACAGAAAAACTGCCATTTAAAAAAAACCCTTTAGGTTCTAGGTTAGAGAGAAAATATTTGAAATCAGATTAGTGACATCTTAATCCAGCTTTCTCTCAGCTGGAACTTTTCAAATGTAGTTGACTTTTAATATTGGAATTCTAGTTTGCTAGCCATATGGCCTGAGAATTTTGAAGAGTTGAATTCCAATACTTACAGTTTAGAGAAATGTAAAACCCACTTTCAAGTACTTAACTAAGCATACAGTGGAAGAGAGTTACAGCAATAGTCTTATTTATTTGTGTGCTCTGCTACTACCAATATATAACTAAGTTCCTTAAAGAGGTAGCTGATGCCTAATCTAATCCCCTTCTATTGATTTTCTTAAGGCAGAAAATAAAAGTTTCTAAGCCAAATACCATATAAGTCCTACCAGATGTTGGATTTGATTTAAGCATTCCACTTTATCCTGCTTTTGGTGCATTTAGTAAACTATCTGAATTTTGTTAGATTGCTATTTTAATTTGGTAATCTTTTCTTCACCAATCTATTCCAATTGATTCTTTAAAGATATCTTTAATTTAGAATTAAACATTCTTTAAAGAATGATGCAGGTTTTGTTCCAGGTTTAAAAAAAACTTTAAGGTTCATTTAATTTTTGTTACAGCTAAGTTCTACTTTCATTCGGTTTTTTGTATATGGTCAACTGCCCTGACTATAGTTTAAGTTAATATGGTTGTTGTGGAATAAAGTGTTTTGTAGATTTGGCATATGTATCATTCTACAAAGAGACACAATTATAGGAATACAATGTTTTTAAAAAGTGTCATTGCTTTTTTAATTTAATAGATCTTGGTTTTCAACTTTGGAAAAAGCTTGCAATAAAAAGTAAATTTACAATTTTAAATTCTCTCTTTCTAAATTCTTAAGGTTCGTCCTTGCTTAGGTGTTCTATCAAGACTGTTGTTTAGCAGTGACTCGGATGTATTGGCAGATGCTTGCTGGGCCCTCTCTTACCTTTCCGATGGACCGAATGATAAAATACAAGCGGTTATCGATTCTGGGGTTTGCAGAAGATTAGTAGAACTTCTGATGTAAGTCTTTTTAAATCAGATAATTATTGCAGCAGGAGAGTGCTGGAGAAGATAGGAGAAGGTGTTAAATTATATTAGCATGTCAGCTATAGTTTCTCCATACCATATCAGCAGTACCTGCAGTGGTAGTTGTCTTTCTTGCCTCTATTCTCTTCTCTAAGACAGCAGGAATTCTATAGTTGGCAAATTCAAGAAAGGCACAAGTATCCAGTTCATCTTATTTTTGTCTATCAGCTTAGTTTGTGCCTGTATTAAGTAGTACATAGATACAAGGAATCTGCCACTAAATGTTGCAATACAGAGTGTTCCAGTGTTAAAGGTCTAGCGATAACTAATTCCACTTGAAAATTCTGTATTATTTTCCCACCCCAAACACACATGCACACTCTTTCTCTCACACACAGGCAGACACACAACAAGCAATTTTTTTCATTTTCTTCTCACAGCATGGTTAGAATTTATGTCAATGGAAGAATAGAATAGAATAACAGAGTGGGAAGGGATCTTGGAGGTCTTCTAGTCCAACCTCCTGCTTAGCCAGGAAACCCTATACCATTTCAGACAAATCGTCCAATCTCTTCTTAAAAACGTCCAGTGTTGGAGCTTTCACAACTTCCGGAGGCAAGTTGTTCCACTGATTAATTGTTCTAATTGTTAGGAAATTTCTCCTTAGTTCTAGGTTGCTTGTCTCCTTGATTAGTTTCCATCCATTGCTTCTTGTCCTGCCCTCAGGTGCTTTGGAGAATAGCTTGACTCCCTCTTCTTTGTGGCAACCCCTGAGATACTGGAACACTGCTATCATGTCATCCCAGTCCTTCTCTTCATTAAACTAGACATACCCAATTCCAGCAACTGTTCTTTATAAACCGTTCTTTATCCTCCAGTCCCTGATCATCTTTGTTGCTCTTCTCTGCACTTTTTTTTAGAGTCTCAACATCTTTTTTTACATTGTGGTGACCTAAACTGGATGCAGCATTCCAAGTGTGGCCTTACCAAGGCATTGTAAAGTGGTATTAATACTTCACGTGATCTTGATTCTATTCCTCTGTTAATGCAGCCTAGCACTGTGTTGGCTTTTTGGGCAGCTGCAGCACACTGCTGGCTCATATTTAAGTGATTGTCCACTAGGACTCCGAGATGGCTCTCACAGTTACTACTATTGAGCAAGGTACCACCTATACTATACCTGTACATTTGGTTTTTCTTGCCTAAATGTAGAACCTTGAATTTCATTTTGTTAGATAGCACCCAATGTTCAAGTCTGTCCAGATTCTCCTTTATCTTAAGCCTATCTTCTGGAGTGTTGGCTATTCCTGCCAGCTTGGTGTCGTCTTCAAATTTGATGAGTTCCCCATCTATCCCCTCGTCCAAATCATTAATGTAGATGTTGAAGAGCACCAGGCCCAGGACAGAGTCTGAATGAAGTTCCATTGAGGACTACATGTTGAGTGTGGTTGGTTAGCCTGCTACAAATCAATCTGGTGGTATGCTATCTTATCAAGTAGTAGGTTGTGATCTACTTTATCAAATGCCTTACTGAAGTCCAAGTAAATTATATCCACAGCATTCCTCTGATCCACTAATTTTGTCACTTGGTCAAAGAATGCAATAAGATTTGTCTGGCATGATCTGTTTTTGACGAACCCATGTTGGCTTTTAGTAATGACTTTGTTTGCCTCTAGGTGTTTGCTGATTCGTTGCTTGACTATCTTTTTCAGAATCTTCCCAGGGATTGAGATCAGGCTGATAGGTCTGTAGTTTCCTGGATTTATTTTTTCCCCCGTTTTTGAAGATGGGAACTACATCAGCTCTTTTCCAGTCCTCCAGTAGTTCCCCTGTGCTCCAGGATCTTTGAAAAATATAGTTCAGTGGTTCTGAGATCACATCTGCCACTTCCATCAGAACCTTGGGGTGTAATCCATCTGGTCCTGGTGATTTCAACTCGTTTAGTGTGAATAGGTGCTCAGTGACCATTTTCTTGCCTATTTTAACATGTTTCTAATCTGTTTCTTACGATACTGATAAGTTGGCCTGTTTTTTTTCCTTTGTGTAAAGATGGATGCAAAAAATGAGTTAAGTAGTTTTTTCTCCCTGTTGCTTGTCACCCTCTTGCCACTTTCTCCCACTAATGGACCAATTGTTTCCTTGACTTTTTCCTTGATTTTTACAAGTGATTAGTTTTTATTGAACAATTCAGGGAGATTCAGTTTGCATTCTTTTAGAGTTGATTTTATTGTTGATTTCGTTTTCTATTGTAGAGATGTTACTCTTTACTATATAAAAAACATACTGCTATTTGTATATGGCACCAGACTGAGAGCTCACTTGAATTATTTCAAGCAGACAGATTTTTTCCATTTCATTTCCTTCCGTTTCATTTTTTTCCTTTCCATTCAACTAGAGCATTCAGAGGGCACTGATCATCTTCCTTGTTGATTGTATTTCTCAGAGGTTTAGTGGAGGTAGCCTTTGCTTAAAAAAAAAAAAAATCTACAGGTTCCCCCCCCCCTTTTTTCTCTCTCTTTTGTTAATTAACTAAATACAAAAAGAAGAAAAAGGTTTAAAAGAGAAATAAAAGCATACAGGGCATATATTCTTATGCATACAGAAATAAAGTTGTATTGTACAGAGAAGCCATAATTCATTAGTCATCATAGCTAATCTATCAATTCAGACTACTGAATGATTGGAATCATATGTTTGTCTTTCCAGTGCTGAATAGTAAGTCTTTTGGTTATAAGTATACAAAAATGTATACTTAAAATTTGTTTAATGTTAAAAGAAAAGAAAAAGATTCATATATACAATTACATACGATTTTGAAAAAAGCCAAAAAAGCTGTATGTGTTTCAGTTCAGAAGAAATGCTTTATGTAATATGTGAGAACAGATTTCTCTGCATTTAATTAAAACAGCCCAACTTTTCTTCAGCTTCTATGTCACTGTTTTAAGAAGTCAATTTAAGAAGTCATTGAGTCCTACCTCTTCAATATGATGATGCTGGGCTTTTGTTCTGTCGAGATAAAATATGATGGAGTTTTTTGATAATTGAATTATTAGAATAGGATCCTCAAACCCATATGATGAGGTAGAAAGATTGATTGTATCAGGAAGAACGCATCTATATCTTTAACATATTTTAACAATTCCCTTGTTTAGGCACAACGACTACAAGGTCGTGTCGCCTGCATTAAGAGCAGTGGGAAATATTGTGACTGGTGATGACATTCAAACACAGGTAAATAAATTTTTAAACTTACTTCAGTGATCTTTCTGTCCTTTGAAAGATACAATAGAATCTTATCACTTGAACGTATCAGATATAGGGTATATCATAGCCTTGATTCAGGCATTTACCCAAAAGCTAAGAAAGTTCATAGAGCATGGGAACTATTATTCTTGAAATAAATTTATCAGTATTCAACTGGGAAGACAGTTTATGTGTTTGGGGTTTTTTTTAATGCACATTTTTTGTCTTGTTTAGTTTTGCTTTATTGTTTGCCTTTTTGTTCTATTGAACTATTGTATTGCAATCTCAAAGTAGTAGTAGACTTGCAAAATGTGAAGCATAAAAGTAACTGTAGGAGTTGTCGCCTGTTGTGGTGTGCCAGTATAGTCCCTTTGCACTTCAGGACTGGCTAGAGTTATTTTCATTTCACATAGGTCCTGCTTTTTTGAATATAGATAGCAATTTAATAGTACAGTGGTATCTCGGTATTCATCGCTGATTCTGGAAGGCGGGATGGAATACCAAAAATCACGAGTACCAAGCAATTTTTTTCCTATAAGTAAATCACAAGGCACACAACACTGACAAGTTATAGCTTGTGCATTGAGTACCAAACAAACAGTATTGAGTACCAAATTCGATGAGCTTCAAAGAAGCTGAATACCAAGGTACAATCATAGTTTCTTATGTACCTTTTTTCCCCTTTTGTGTTACATCTGTCTACCTTCATGCTTAGTTTTTATTGGGATCTAGAACAGATTTTTCAGAAAACATAGCGTGTCTTTTTTCTGTAATATAGTGTTCAATGAAATAGTAATTCAATTTGTAAATATTATGTTATTTCAGCTATATGGAATGTACTTTATTTTACATTGTTTAGGCAGAACTTTTCATCTTTCAAATTATTTTAGGTAATTCTAAATTGCTCTGCATTACCCTGTCTCTTACATTTGCTGAGTAGTCCCAAGGAATCTATTCGAAAAGAAGCATGCTGGACAGTATCTAACATCACTGCAGGAAACAGAGCACAAATTCAGGTAATGTGTTCAGTTGTCTTTGTTAGGCATAATTATTTTTACCCTTAACCTTTTTTTTTTTTTTTTTAGTCTTGTTCTGTTCCTCAACCTCATTTATTTTTGTTTAATCTATCCAGCACACAGTGAATAGTGCTGGATGGGTGGGAAGGGACAGGCAGTTTTATCTGGAGGTTATGCAATCAATACAACTTCATATCCATACCTTTAGATGTCCAGTAAACCCATACATAGATTGCTTGTATAATTACTGCAAATTTCTTGTTATTTTTTTCTTTTCTTTTTTGTCTTGTTTTGTTTTATTTATATAATTGAAGTAATTGTATCAATTTACATTATTTGTATGTGTTGCTTCATAGATGATATAAATTCAGTCAGTTTAAGGTTGTGGGTCAGGATACAAAGAGACTTGAAAAATTGGGAGAAGTTGCAATTATCTCTTTTGGGAAGAATTGCGGCGATTAAAATGAATGTCCTGCCTAAATTCCTTTTTTTATTTCAAATGATACCTATCTTAAAGAATGAGGTCAATTTAAATGAATGGCAGAAAGGTATCAATAAATTTATCTGGGCGGGGAAAAAACCAAGAGTAAACCTTAAAATTATACAAGATATTCGCGAGAGAGGTGGACTCAAGGTACCGAATTTGAAATTGTATTATGATGCTGTGGCCTTAACATTAATTAGTGATTGGGTTAATTTAACAAATGTAGAAATACTCCTCTTGGAGGGTTGGGATTTACTTTTTGGATGGCATGCCTACTTAATTTTTAACAAAAAAGTTGACCGGGTTTTCAAATCTCATATTATAAGGATTTCTCTACTTCGGGTTTGGAGGAAATATTACAGAAGCGATTTTAAGATACCGTTATGGGCTATACCTTGGCATGCAATAAAGGGGATAAGGAGAGGAGCTAAGATGGAGAATTTTTATAAAATGTTTTATAGATGGCACCTTGATCCACAAAAAATGTCTCGTATGTATCCTGACTTACAGACTAAATGTTGGAGATGTAGTTGTTTGGATGCTACTTATTACTATATTTGGTGGTCGTGTAAAAACATAAAAGCCTTTTGGATTAAGATATGGTGGAATATTCAAAGAATTTTTAGAAGGAGGGTAAAATTTACCCCACAATTGTTTTTGCTAGGTATAGTTACTGGTTGTGATACTAAGGAGGTTATATTGATGTTAAATTTAATCACAGCCGCAAGGTTGTTAGTAGGGCAATATTGGAAGAAGGAATCTTTGCCTACCTTTCAAGAGTGGTTTTCTAAAGTATCCTATTTGGCGGAAATGGCAAAGATTTCGGCTTTTTTAAAGGATCAATCGCAAGAGAAGTTTTTTGTGGTTTGGGAAAAATGGATAGATTTCATACAATATAAGTTGGATATAAAAAAATACTACTAGGTTTATCAATAATTTATATATAAATTTTAATATTTTATAGATTGTATTATTTTTTTATATGTTTTATTATTATTTTACTTTCATACTTCTTTTCTTCTTTCTTTCTCTTTATTTTTCTTCTTTTTAAGTATTCTTTTTTCTTTTTTTTTCCTTAATATATATATTATTGTTAATTATTCTATTAGTAGTTTAAATAACGTATTTAGACTTATTTATGGTTTATATTTTTTCTTTTTTAAGAATTTAAGAAAATTTAATTAAGCCTATATTCAGCTCTGGGAAAGTTGAGGGAGGGAGTGGGAGGGTTGGGGAGGGTTGGGGAGGGTTTTTTTTTCTTATTTTGTAAAATTTTAAAAATTTTCAATAAATTCAGTCAGTTTTGCAATAATATTTTTATTATATGGTGATCAACTCCCAATTGTTTTTTTTCTGGTACATCCAGGATCCATTGAATGAGTGTCTATGAAATTGAGAGTTTATTATAAGTTCAGTATTTGATTACTCTATTGACTTCAAGAATTTTCAGAGGTTATTACATTATTATATATTTTTTCCTTTAGGCCGTTATAGATGCAAATATATTTCCAGTATTGATTGAAATTCTTCAGAAAGCTGAATTTCGTACTATAAAGGAAGCAGCATGGGCCATCACTAATGCAACATCAGGAGGGGCTCCTGAACAAATTAGGTAATAAATTACAGTTGATTCACAGCAATGCTGATAGTTGAAACTTTTTCATTTAGTAAGTGAACTTTTCCCAACCTGATGTTCCCTGATAGTTAGGATTATTGCTTACAAATTCAAATGATAACTGTAGTTTGTTAAACTTGTATGCCACCGCCCCTCACTCTCAGCACCCAACGCTGTAATGACTGAGTCAATCTGGAGGGCACCAGTTTATGAAAAGCTGCATGAGGGAATCATAGTATGCCTTGAATATCTTTCCTGTATTGTATGTGTGTGTGTGTGTGTGTGTGTGTTTGTAAAAAGGAAGACATACTGATCTCTGGGACATAAAATTTATTTCTCACTGAGCTTTTGTTAGCTACTGCTAATATTATCAAAGAGTAAGCCAACATTGGAGAGACATTGTTTTTATAGCCCTTTAACTACCAATAATTTAGCCATCGAACACGTAATAGGTCCGTCAGTTCGCCGCCCACATGTAATTGGATTCGTCACATCCGGCTCAGCTGTATTAGTTGACATATGTATAGCTCTCATTGCCCTGCCTCCCACCGCTTCCATTCACTTTGGAAATGAAAGTTTGTTCGTAGATCATTCGGATTTCAGATCAGTCAATTTAAAAAAAAAGGTGCATTGTTGGGTTCTGGGATAAAATTATTTATATGTTAACCATATAAGGAGTGTTGTTTCTTTTAGTAGCATAATGTTTTCAAAATTATATTTTTAATATTTTTTAATGAAAGCATCTTTGTATGTAGATTACTACAGTCAACAAAAAGAAAAAAAAACTGATTAGTTATATTCCATCCTCTTTTTCCCCCCTTCTTTACAAAAGTTACTTAGTGGCATTAGGTTGTACCAAACCTCTATGTGATCTTCTGACTGTGATGGACTCTAAAATAGTCCAGGTAGCCTTGAATGGACTTGAAAACATACTGCGACATGGAGAACAAGAATCAAAGCAAAATGGAATTGGAGTGAATCCTTACTGTGCCCGTATAGAGGAAGCATATGGTAAGAAGTGATAACTCAACGCCACAGCAAGTATTAATATGGGAATATTTCTATTCAAAAATTGTCAATGCTGTGCCATGTGCAGTGCTGTAGACTTTTATGTAAGGAAATGATTCCTAATAAACATAAGATTTACTGTTAAATAACAATATATAAGTTTGGATTGCAAGTCTCTTGTTTGCTATTCTGGGAGTTGTCAAGAAATGTCTTTATTTTACCTGTTTATGGAATTAAGAGCTGTTTATTACTGAGCAGTGCTTGACTGTATTGAGCAGCGTAGATCTTACTTCTCTCTCTTAATTCTAGGACTGGATAAAATTGAAATCCTTCAAAGTCACGAAAACCAAGAAATCTACCAAAAAGCTTTTGATCTCATTGAACATTATTTTGGTGTGGAAGAGGAAGATGCAAACATTGTGCCCCAAGTAGATGAAAACGAACAGCAATTTGTGTTCCAGCAACAGGAAGCCCCCATGGAGGGGTTCCAGCTGTAACCCTTGGCTCAAAGGACAGGAGCACTTTTGTGGTGGCCTTCATTTGCTGCCCTGATGGGGAATGTTTTGCGGAAGAAGATAAAGGAGCAACTTATGGACTCAACATGTGCTTTTTTTTTTTCTATTGTGTGTTGCCATTGTCTCGTTTCTAGAAATACCAACTATTCACAAGGTACAAAATAATGTTACCTTAAAGCAGACAGCAGATTCTGAGTTTTCAAGCAGTTGTTAAAATTGCACCATTATCCATAAACAGCTGTGATATTTTGGATTTTGGCGGTGTGGTTTATATGCCCAAGCTACACTAAAATCTACCTCTATTCCTTGGAGCCAAAAAGATGTTTCAGAACTATAGACAGGAGCTCCTAGTAAACATTAAATTTAGAATGTGAAAATTATTTATTTAAATAGTGAAAATATAGTTTTATTGTGATACTTTGAGACAAACTGGGGAAATATATTTAAAAGCAACACTTCTAGGAGCACGTTGCTGGTTACATACCATAACATTAAGTGTTATGTCAAAAATGCAGTATTTCTGCTGTTTAAAAAGAGGTAGCCAGTTTCAATTTGTAGTTCATCCAGACTTGTTCCTAGTTATGTAAAGGAAGTTCCGTCATCCTTTTTAATTTCTGTGGAATTGCAAAAGTTGCCAGTGCTTGAACTAACTACTACAGCTGATTTTTTAAACGACAGGTTGATGACATGTGGAAAGCTTTATCTGCTAATATTTGTCCATTAAATTGCTGGAGTTTGTTTTCTACCTAGTATAAACTTATCAATTAGAAAAGTATGTTTATATTGTAATGATTATTGTAAGGGAACTTTCTATACTAGGAATTCTGAACTGAAATATCCATGTTTAACTTAAAAGCTACTAAAGTGTGTGAGGCTGCAATATACCTTTTAAAGAACAAAATTAGATTATTTATTTACATAGTGTATTGTGTTTGACCAAATATATGAATGCATTATAAAAACCCCTTTTTAAATGTTTGGCAATTTTTTCTAACTTATTGAAAACAGATCACCAAAAGTATATTTTCTAACAGACAGCAGTAGCACTGGGAAAGATCATTTTCCAATTAATTGAAAGAAAGCACTTGAATATACAATTATCTGTGATAACATATGTAAAATAAGTTTATATAATACTGGTGAATTTTATTTTACACTAGAATGAACACTTGAGACTGTTTGTTTTAGAGTCTGAATCTTATATGAATTGGGAAGGGTATAGCCCAGTTCAAGTACTCTGATAATTTTGCTTATCAGAAATGTCTTGGTCTGTATAATACTTTTTAAAAAGTTATGTATCATACCTACAAGTGATTGCCTTTTTAAAATACTGTATAAATTTCAAATTCATGTATCAAATTTTCAAAAAGTAGTTTGCATTCAGTGAAATACATGTTCACTCGTGAACATGTATTTGAGTTAAAATACTGCTCTTTTTGTCATATTCAAGTTCCCCAAGATTGATTTGCCAAGGAAAATAAGTCATAATTGGCCATTGTGCCATGCATCTTATGTCATTGTTACAGAAACCCCTTTGTTTCAGTGTTAGATCAATATTAGAGGTTTCTGAATGAAGCTGTTAGATTACTTAGTTTTCATGTGGGTCAGGAATAAAAGACTAAAGTGCTCAATTCAGCTGCTTCCTGCATTAACTACTGTCATGGCCTGTGGAGCTTGTTCTATATTTCCATTGTAGTAGCTGACATATATTTCTACTACATACAAGATTCACTGCAACATGACCCATAGCCTTCACAAAGGCAGTATAACAATAATATTTACTCACAAAGAATTGTGGAAGTACCGCTTGCCTTGGAAAATATAAGCTTATATGTATGAATAGAGGATCATAACTGAGGAAGCCACCTTATTTGGAAACTTGCTGGAAATACAGTGCAAGATATAAGAAGTCTGCTTAAATCTGCAGCTAGATATCCTATATCTATCAAGGGATAATGGGATTTGAGTATTAGGGATGTTTTATAACCATTTGTATCATTCATTCCAAGTACAGTTTAAATTTGCCAATTGAAACTGAATTTATCAGAATTACTCTAGAATGTTAAAAAAAAAAAAGAGGTTGTGACAGGGTATACCATTGTTTGTTTGCTTATTTGCATTACAAAATTACCAGTTGTGCCTGCTCTTAATTTCCAAATGAATAAATAAATGCTATCAAAGCATTTTTATCCAAACAAAATGTAAAATTACATAAGATTTAGAAAAAGCAAAAATCTCAAATGTGAATGAACACAACTGTTTTGAAATTTCATCGTATAGATCATGAGTATGATAATTTCTATATATTGCTAAAGACATAATTTTGACCTTAATTTTGAATGCTTAAGTATTACTATTGGGTCATCATCAAATTCTCTTACAAATGACATTTAAAAACATTGCATGATTTAGAAAGATTTCAGGAATTGGCCCTTTAATAGAGGAGGCATCAACAGCATCTACAGAAAAAAATAATCCTAAATAGTACATCTTTGAACAATTTAAAAAAGATTTCAGATTTAAGAATTCCTTCCTATTCAAGTTGACACATTCTCATGTAATGGCCTGAATTTGACAAGACTTTAAACTATGCAACCATGCCAAGTATGTATTTCAGATACAAAATATAATGTGTTTTTTACTCAAGCAGGTTTACATTTAGAAAATAGATGGATTATGGTCTTAAAGCAAAGTACAATTACTTTTACCTATTATCTCAGTTGGATTTATTTGCTGACGCCTTATTTACATTTTGTTATATTAATGAACTAAAAATGTCTTTAGAAAATGTATATTATGAAACTGCTAAAGAATTGAGATGAGATCTATAAAAATACACAATACTTTTTTTTATTGTGTTTCAAATGATCACCTGTAATTTATTGCATCTGACAAACTACAGACTGAACAAATCTACAAATAAGAACAGTATGCAATATTAGGGAATGTTACTCAACACTACAATGCAAAAGTAATAAATGTATTTTACGTGATACGCATTGTGTATATTTATTTTGGCTGGCAGATTCAGACTCCTGTGCAAACTTGTGAGGACCTCTGATTGATCTCAGTAGAATTTAATTGCTGATACACGAGAAAACAATTTTTTACTGCAGAGTTTTCCAACCCATGTCTTAGAAGCTGCCTTAGAAACAGGCTTGTGGCTGGCAATGCCAAACATGCCAAATTAGAGGTGGACATAAGGTGGAAAATCTCAATCTCTCTCTCTCCCTCCCTCCTTCCCTCCCTCTCCCTCTTTCTCTCTTTCCTCTCTCTTTCCTCTCTCTCTCTCTCTCCCTCCCTCCCTCTCCCTCTTTATCCATACAAGATATATAATTATATAGGGTCTATAAAATATAAGGTACACAAGTTCTGCCTAGGGGCAAGGGATTGGACTAGAATACCTCCAAGGTCCCTTCCAGCCCTATGATTATATTTTATAGTTGTGTAAGATATAAGGAAGGACTTTTAACTTTAAAAGCCCTGCAACCTATGTTGGACTCTGAAAGAGACTCTCTTCGAAAGGCTATATGTGAATAAATAATATTGCCTGATCTGTCCCCAGCACAGATTCTTTTTTTATTGCCTGGGGTGAAATGCTGAGATTCCCCTGCCTAGACATAGAACTACTGAAGGCAATTAGTTCTCTGCAACTAACTTTCAACTCCACAGTATTTGATTTTTTAAAAATTATTTAAGGTATAATTTATACCCCCCGCATTGCATCATCTTAGCGTTGCCTGATGCCTTTTCAAGATATTGTTGGTTTGGAAATATAACAAAAGCATAAACCGTATCTACTCGCAAGATAAGGTAATATCTTTTTTGTTATCTGTGGGTCAAGAACAGCCTCATAATTCGAGATCCATCTTGGATGGTTCTTTGATCTAAGGCAGTGGTTCTCAACCTTTTTAATGCCGCGACCCCCAACCGGTCGTAAGTCGAGGACTACTCAACAAGTCATAAGTCGAGGACTACTCAACTGGTGCAGCACCGTTTTCAGAATGGGACTTTTGGTGGGCTCAGCAGGACAGAGACAGCCTGGACAATTCCTATTGGCTTTTGAAAGCCAATAGAATTAGACTCTATTCAAGAGAGTCTATTCTATTGGCTTTCAAAAGCCAATAGAATAAAGGAGTAGCACAGCTAAGGAAAAGGGGGAAAAAATGGCGGACTGCGTTGTTTGGCGACCCCCGTGAAATGGTCGTTCGACCCCAAATGAGGTCCCAACCCACAGGTTGAGAACCACTGATCTAAGGAACAGAAGCAGCAGACTTTGAGGAGAAACCCAAAGGATTCATCCAGAGGGCTTATCAGGGTCTTGCAAATCCAACAACCTTTAACAATGCACCACACTGAGTCGTGGGATAGTTGCTATATAATAGTAGATAAATGTGCAGTTATACATGCAACTTCACCCAATTGTTGCTGTTTCTTATAAGTAATGGATGGCCAATATATTGAGCTGCCAGAGTTGTGTTCCATAAGATGAACGGCCAATATACGGGTAAGTCTTTTAAGTAAGTCTAGGGATTTAGATGGGACAACAGGCAAGATTTTTACTTATAACTGAAGCCGCTGCCTCAGAGTGCTAGAAAAGGGATTACTGAGGCTGAAATACAGTGGAATATTGTATTATCATGACAGTACAGTATCTAGCATAAAAGACAAGTGGCTATAGATATGTACAATTTTTCCCACCTCCAACATAGCAGCAATGTGTACTTTGTCCATAAGAGGGCAGTGTTCAATAAATCTTGCAATTCTTTTCTGCTACAATCCTTACTTTTGGGTTATAGAATGCTGGTAGTGTGTTGGTTTTGCAAACCAGCCTACACTGTTTCTTACATCTGAAGACATTAATAAAATTCCTCTTAAAGATGAGCTTGATATTAAATCTTTACCCATAAAAGAGCGCTATTGCTAAGTAGCTGGTTCAGCTTGCACTTGTATTGGCTGCTGCAAGTGCATATGGGACTAAAATGGTGGCTATTGTGGGGAGGCCATTTGGAAACAAAACTGTCAGGGAATGTGACATCAACAGAAGTACCCCAAACAGTAATCAATCTGCACAAACATTTTGGAGGGGGGGGGGTGAATTGTGTGAACAAACTGTACAACTCATTCTCTTTTCACAACTTAAACATTATGCTATAGCTCATTTTTTTCTGCTGTAAAAAGACAAAAGATCACATTGTTGACCCATTTGACATATAGCTCCTTATTGATCATATGCTGTCCCCTAATAGCTCAATCAAACTCCTTGATCTTGCAAACATCTTGCTTGTAAAGAGATACCTGTAGAACCCCTAACCACTGAGTTGCTCCACAGAAATTTCCAATTTAATCTATTTTTCATCCCCAAAGAGATGTGTCACCTTACACAACAACAAGGCATTGGAATTTTTTTGCATTTCTATAAAAAACAATGCAGTTATTGGTTATTCATCATTCCCCCTCCAGAGAAAAGTATTCCAGAAAAAAGATAAATTTAAATCTTTAAGGGGAGAGTAATTATACTCTTTCTTTTATAATGAGAAGTTTCTGTTCACAAAAATATTCATTCCAACAATGATGAAAGAATAGCCATTTTATTAAATGTGAGGCTCTGTTTCGAAATCAAAAGTTCGGATTTTAGGCTGTTTAGCTTTGAACAGCAAATATTTAACACTGAAGACTTGTGAAGTATTGGTAACAGCATTTACAAATATTTACAAGCATGTACGTATATACATTCAAATGTTTCTGCGTATGTGTCTGTATCTGTATGTAATGATAAATACACACATGCACATGCATATGTACCACACAAATATGTATACCTAGAGAGGGAGAGAGAGAGAGAAAACTTTTCAAAGGTGAAAAGAATATGCCCACGGGTATTCACAGTGTAATCCCTTCCAAAAGTAAATCCCTTTGAGCTTCACCTGTAATATCACAACAAAAGTTTTTCAACAGAAGTTACATTAATTATTTCATAAATGTTAATCTCTCTCTCTCTCTGTGTGTGTGTGTGTGTGTGTGTGTGTATTCTTGACAAAAAAAGGATGCATGGTTTTGCACCAAGACTAATGGATGTAAAGCTGACATCTGAAAAAGTCATGATAAATGCCCCTCTTTGTTTCAGGGAGGTCATTAGTTCACCCTATTGTTAGATATATTAGGGCTACTGCTTAAGGAGATATCCATCTGTTAATACACAATTCCACCCATGTTAATATAAATTTGACAAAGAGATAACCTAAGTATTTCAGTACATGTTATCCGCAGCTACTTTCCAATCACTTCTTACATTGTGGAATGACATAACATTGATTAGATCAGCAATAATTTCCTGCTTTAATTTCATGAAAGATAATTCAATACCTCCTGACTCCTCCTGATTTTTATGCACAAAAATGAAAATTCAGGAATAATATTAATGCAACTGTGAGAGTACAGCACAGTGGAAAGAAGCAGAAAACAATATTGCTGATGGTGCAATTCGTTCGGATCTTTGGAAAGAGACAGAAAAAAAACGTGCTTCATTACAACTTTAAAAGCAGCCTTGTTTATTTGTATGGAAGTATGAGAACACATCATTTCTCTCATTTCAGAATTCAAGAGATTTCTTCCTTGCTTAGACATATTCATTTATCTTCAGCACTCTCAATCCAAAAGAGAGTTAAGCATACATGAATTCATGTACTTAACTCCATGATGTGCATGGTGGAGGGGGCAAAGAGGGAGCCTTGAAGAAACATGCTCTGTAACATCACAAATACATTTTACTCTTTTGCACTCGCAGCACAATTTCATGTGCAAGTACATAACAAGTGGACCTATATTATGACATTATGATGCCTATTTCATCATTTTGATAACATTTTGATTTGCAGATACCCCTAAGGATGGGTTCACTCTGCTGAAGTTCTGCTCAGTGCTGTAGGAGGGTCCAAGCAAACATCAATGAAGCAGCAAAACTATCATATCATTGCTATCATATCATCATACTTTGTAATCACTGATGCATCTGAGTAAAAAACTGGCTGCTGTTAGGATTCAATTTCCAACTTCATTATAACAATCATTTCATAAAAGAAAAGCCAGTTATATGATTTCTTCCTCTGCTTCAACATAAATTCCTATTCCCTTTCATTAATCTGGTTTATGTGTCACACAAAACTGAAGTTGGCCTTATTGTGGTTTGTTGAAGTACCATTTACATGATGTTTAATAGTCTTTATGTACCTATGTTTATGAAAATAGTCTTATTTGCAATAGGTGAATGCATGTTTCACATTCTGCTATGCCATAAACAATGGTTTGCAGACCACAATAACTGGTATACACATCACTTTAAGCCTCATTTACAATGGCTGAAATCATATATTATCCTTAATAAAATGTGTGGACCCAAGGTCTCTTTCTCTTAACCATGATCAAGTACAGGAGTGAACAACCATGGCTACCAGACCATAAGCAGACATTAGCTTTATTTAATGTAGCCTACATCCCAATTTTAAAAGTCCTTTTGGACCCTGGGCAAAAGTGATTTGCCCTATGTTTAGCAAAAGGGAAGTGAGAGAAAGAAAAACGAAATTCAGAAAAAGAGCAAGAGACCAAAAGAAAACCCAGGAAACAAAACCATGGAACCCCCACTTTGCTTTGGCATTGTCTGTCTCTACCGCTTGCTTCACCCTGGTTTTCAGGTCACAATAGCCCTCCACAGGAAAAAGAAAGAAAACATGTTACCTACCGCTGGTCTAATAGAGGCTAGCTAGTTTCCCCCCTAACCCAGGATTACAATTTTACTCAGGCTGAACTTTTGACCTTGATTTCAAATCCTAGGTAAGCTAAGAATCACAGTTAGGCAAACGGGAGAAGAAAGCGGAGATGAAATAATCATAGGAAGTCAACATCATGTCTGCAGAGACCTGCATCTCTAGGGTGTTGATAGATACTTAAAGGTTGATCAAATGACCTCATCTTGAAATGATATTTCCAGAACACCTGCCCCTCTTCCCCACACTTCTAATCTCCCTTCATATGCTAGAGAGTCTTCTCCTTGGTATTGTGGGCCCCGCTGTAGTTTTGGAGTGGATTTCCCCTCTCACTTCTCTGAGCCCAGTGGCCTGAAAATGGCAACTACCATTCAGCCAGCTTTTCTCACCCTTAACTTTACAACAAGCATTTGTGCTAGGAACTGGAGGGGTCCCGCTTTTAGAGTCCAGAGAACTTTGATTGACACTGATACTCCCTGCACTCTTGGAAGAGTAATTGTACAGCATTTTAAGGAAGGCGGATTTAGTATTTGCTTCTTGCTTATACAGGATGATGTAGCACTTGGGGAAGAATGTACAGCACAAGATCCCATAGTTAGATATCAAAATGACAATGATTTCGACCGCGGGCAAGTATTTGCCAAAAGTGGTTGTGTAGACAGGGATGAATATAATCCATGCAATGAAATAGATGAGCATACCAAAGGTAATGAATTTTGCCTCGTTGTAGTTTTCAGGGAGCTTCCTGCCTTTAAAAGCACAGATAAAGCAGATGAATGCGAGGAGGGCAATGTATCCTAACATGATGCCGAGGGCCACTGCTGAACCTTCATTGCATTCCAGGATGATAACTCTCCGGATGGAGAAGTTCTCTGCTACGAAAGGGCTTCTCACAGTGATCCAGACCGAACAAATCAAGATCTGAATCCCTGTGCAAAAAGACACAATGGGGATGGGCCTGTAGAGACCCTTCAGCCATTTCTGTAACTTGGGGTCGAAACTGAAAGCCAGCAAGATTTTCAGGGACTTAATCAAAATACATGAAATGCAGAGGGCAAAGCTAATGCCAAAGAGAGCTTGTCTTAGTTTACATTTATATGCTTTGGGCTGGCCAATGAATAAACTTGTGCTAACAAAAGCCAGGAAGTGACAGAGGAGTATAACATAGCACACAGTTAGGCCACCTGATGCCTTTACAACAGGAGTGTCCACATTTCGAGTAAATATTATGAAAATGGCACAAATCAACACAATTCCAAGGGCAGACAGAACCAGTAACAAAACAGCAAACCAGTCATTCCAGTTGAGGTATTGAACCATCTTCCTGTAGCAGGTTGAGCTGTTCAATGGGGCCCAGTGGGTTCTGTTGTTGCATAAAATGCAGTAATCCATATCTGTGCATAGAAAAACAAAAAAATTATTGAGAAGAAGCACCTATCATTTCTCTTAATGTTGTTGAAAGTTTAGAAATGCATCAACTTGGTTCATTAGAATGAATTATTTTTATTTGTTTTAATTTGAGAGATATTTGGTCTGACAAAAGTATAGGCACAAGTTTAGGGAATGAGAATGAAAAAAAAATCCATTCTAAGCACATATTAGAATAGTTTTCTATGCCATTTCAATTCAACCATCAGTGGCATCGGCAGCAAATTACAATGATATCAAAATGAAGATGTCCACTCAGTGATAAAATCATCAAATGCTGCTATAACATACTTGCATCCTGACAACTGACCATTTCTACAATGCCGTGACATATACTGAATATCATTCCTCTCCATCACCACCATGTCTGCCATATCTAATGGAGAAGGAAGGAACACGGTGGCTCAGGAGGTTAGGACGCTGACTTGGAGGTTAGCAAGTCCACATCTGAAACCCAAGTGCTGCTGTGGGAAAGGGTGAGCTCCCGTCCTTGCTCTAACTCAGGGGTAGGCAACCTTGGCTCTTTTATGACTCGTGGACCTCAACTCCCAGAATTCCTGAGCCAGCATGGCTCAGCTTGGAAACTTCTCCCTTTCCCCTCAGCATGGCTGGCTCAGGAATTCTGGGAGTTGAAGTCCATGAATCATAAAAGAGACAAGATTGCCTACCCCTGCTCTAGCTACTGCCAGGGGACATGAAAGGAGCTCCCAATTGGGTGTCCCCCAGGCAACAGTCATGTCACTGGCTAATCCTTTTGACTCAGAAGCACCTTGGTGCTTCTGACACAAATGTAATGTGAATGGAGAAGGGAGAAAGAGATCTTCCTGCCCTCCAGTTCTCAGTGGCAGATCCAGATGGATCCCTATTCATGTTCACCATAGTCACATGAGAAGTCCATAAACAGAAGTTAAATATAAAGCCCAACAGCTCAGTTGTAGCTTTCAGGGCTCCTCCCGTGAGATGTTTACCAACAAATCCCTTGTTTCCCGAGATGTCCCACACACTCCTTCTGCATTACTAGATGTGGTCCTTATAATAATCCTACATATAGGCACAGTTGTACAATTTCTATAGAGAGGAGCTACCCAGCACTACCAATCAGATGGTTTTCTGCAGCTACTTCACATTTTTCTGCTAATTTGTGTTGTGTGTGGGTGTACGTGAATGAGGCAGAACAATAAAAAGTCTTTTCTAAAAGCACCAGGGGAAAAAAAGGTTTTTCTGTGAGGGTTTCTTTAAAAAAAAAACCAACAACATACAAATGTTCCATCCGTCAACAAATTTAACCTTGAGGCTTCTTACCTGTCTGGTTTGTATAGTAATTTTCAGGGCAGCTGATGCACTCGTAACAGCAGGTATGTGGACTTGCGGAAACTTTCTTCACTTGTCCAGGTCTGCATTTCCTAGAGCATTTGGACTGGACATTCTGCAAGAACAAATGCACCAGGAGGAAAAAAAAAACTGTAATGAGAATAAATATTAACTAACTCATCTTAAGTTTTCCAGGAACTGTAATCTGACCCTTAGTGTAAATCAGGGGTCTTCAAACTTGGCCCTTTTATGATTTGTGGACTTCAACTCCCAGAATTCCTCAGCTAGGCACACTTGGCTGAGGAATTCTGGGAGTTGAAGTCCACAAGTCATAAAAGAGCCAAGTTTGATGACCCCTGATGTAAATAATCGAAATCCAAGGCTGGACTATCTCTGTCAAATGTATATTATTTGTGGCCAATTCTGATTACTATTGCCCACCCACATACTGTGGTGGAGGTAACTTGCCTGAGGTCCATCCATGAGAGACAATGCCACTGAATGGCCCTGCTGAAATTTCATACTGCCATAGTCTTGCAATTAATACTGGGGAGCTCCTCCCTTGCTCTCTTCTACTTTCTTACAGATAGTCCTCAACTTATAACTGGTTGCTTAGCAATGGATCCCAACAAAAGCTACTTACGACTCATTTCTGGAGTTCTGATGGCTGCATACACTTCTGGTTCCATGACTGTATTTTAGGCATTTAGCATCCAGCTCACCTTTACTACTGGTGGCAGCATTCCATGGTCATGTAACCACAATTGACTATGGTTTTTTTTTTTGCTGGTTTCTAGTCTTTTTCACCAGTTTCAAGCAAAAAAATGCCCATAGGAATACATGAATTTACTTAATGGCTGAAGTTTTTACTTAACGACTGGGTGTTCGCTTTAACAAGCACTGTAAAAAAAGTCATAAAATCAGGTCCAATCACATGGGTACCTTGACTTATGACCATCATGACTTACGATGGAAGTTCCAGGCTCCATTATGATCATAAGTCAAGGACTATCTGTACTTCAAATGATAGATATCTATTTGTAGCTTGCCTTTAGAAGTTGTCTGAGCTTTCAAGAAGAGACTGGACTACCATCTGTCAGAAATGTTGTGTGTTTTCTGCTTGGGCAGGGAGTTGGACTAGATGACCTACAAGGTACTTTCTAACTCTGATATTCTATTCTATTCTATTCTATTCTATTCTATTCTATTCTATTCTATTCTATTCTATTCTTTGAAAAGCATCAAAGCATTGTTTAGAGTTGGGGCTGGCAACTCTGGGCATATTGGAATGTAGGAATATATTCTGAATGCTTTTCACACCAGAGGAGACTTTTCACAATAAGATACCATCCATGAAAAGATGCTGTAGTGCAAACAAAAGGCTCTAGCACATGCTTTAGTGAGCCATAATGCCTTTACTACTTATTTAATTTGAATCTAAACTTAAATTCCACTAATTTAATCTGGGTCCTGCTCACAGTTTTTTATTCACTGAGAATGGAAGTGTGTGAAAAGAGGGACTGCTATATGTTGTATAAAGTCTTAGATGAAACTGATCCCTCGTATCTGTGGGTGCAATAGGGTGCAATAGGGTGCATCTACAACCTCGGTGCCCCTGAATTGATAGGGACATCATCACTTGTTATTTTTCTTGAATCTTTCATTGTCCTTCAGTACCATTAACTAATACAGCTTCCAGGTGACCAGATGAAGTAGGACTGAGAAGCATAAAGTTACAATAGCTTCATTCCTTTCTAAACAGATATAAGTGGATGGTGATGCTGTGGCATCCTTAGGTATGGACAATCTTTGGGATTCGTCAGAAATCTTGCCAGCTGGGATAATGTGTCAATATGTAAATGACCAACTGCTTTACTTCAATTAGTTTCCTTCAATTAGTTCCAGTGAGGGAATGGAAATATTCAGGAGGTCTTTGGAAGGAATTTGTAGAAGGCCGGCTGAGACCCAAACACCATTAGAGGGGGACCCATATGATCAGAATGGAGTTGTGAGAACAGTGTTGGAAGGAACTCAGTCTCTTCAAAGGGCCATGTGTACAATCTGAGATTCTCTGGGTGTATTGCTATTAGTTACCAGAAGAGCTTAGTGTCACCTTTTGCTGATTCACCTGCTTTATTCCTCTCCAGAAAAGGACTTTGCACTCATCTGTACCCTGACATTAGACCATTGTTTAACTTTCTATTTTTCAAGGTCACTCGGGTATTCTCAGTTGCCCTTCTGGTCAAAAGCAATAAAAATATATTACACGTATTACTTAAAAGATCGAGGTAAAGTTAGAATTTAGCTCCTGCTCTGGTGTAGATCTTTTAATCCCAAATGCCTTCTGAATCTTATTTGGAGAAATCCATGCACCTCTTGGATCCTCTGTTAAGCCACATAAACCTAATTCATGTGCCTGAAGGTACAATCTATTACATTGTTGAGCAAAAGAAAAAGAGTGTCATCATTACAGAATATCTTCTCATGGAATGGAAATGTTACTCTTTCTCCAGACATCTGTAAAGGGACCGTCACAATCTACATGTGTTTCCTTAAAATAATGAATGCCCAGCTTTCCTTTACAATTTAGAGTTCCTACTACTGTTGTTAGTTTGATTTCCTTATACTGCTGTTTCAAATGATTGCCTTTCATGCATTACTATTGTAAAATTATTTTAAAACTTTGTGGTGAGGAGATTTGGCCTTAAACAACCATATGAAATATCTCAAAGAAAAAGAATAAATGTATTCTCATCTCACTCATGTCTCTGGCAAACACGTTTTAGAACTGTTTCAAAAACCTGTTTGACCAGAAGTGACAATGGGGAAAATCAAATATTTATTATATGTTTTAATGACAGGAGTTTAGGGCTGTACAGCCCCTCACATTTGAAGGCTTCAGAGGGTCTCAGAGTGCTCAGGAAACACTTTTCTTTAACTCCTTAAAGCAGCTTTTTGGTTTACAATGATAATCAGTCTAGAGCAGGTTGCCTACTGCTCTAGAGCCTTCTAGATATTTTGAAGTACAACTTATGCTAAATGAGACTTATGGGTTGATATTCTAAATGTCTGGATGGGATTCAGGTGGCCTAGGCATAATCCAACATTTCCTGCATTTTTCTTCCCCCATTTAGTGGCAAACTAAAGCCTGGATCCAAGTCTATACAAATCTCCCGCATGGATATACCCATGTGTATTTCAATCCCATTGTTTTTCCAAGGTGTCTTCACATACCTTTAGATTCATGAATTCAATTTCGTCTTCTTTATCTGCAAAGATGAAGTCATCTTTCTCCAGGTCATATTCTGCCATGTTGGTAATCACCACTCTTCCATCAATTTCCTTCCAGAGCAGAACATCATAGCCTGTGTTAATGTCTCCTTGAGAGTCAAAATAGACCTCCCGTTCATTATCAGTGAACTTTATCTCTTTAAGTATTTCGAGCAACTGCAATAATGAAAACAAGTAATGATGAAAAACAATATTGTTTAAGGAAGGCAAATATCAGATAGTAGCAACATAATAGCACTGCATACTTGAGGATTTGTGTTAAGAAGAAATGTTTATTGAAACCATCTAAGCAAGGGGAATAGGTGGGCAATTAAAATTTGAAGAAAGGAATGTGGAATGAAATAAAAATAAAGGAACTTTTTCCTGATTGCTTTTTTCAGATGTCATCTCTAAAATAAAAGTATTGTTTTATTTGCTAAAATAAAAATAAAATATTAACAATCTTATTTCCCTTGGAAACAAATAAGCTATTAACAATATTACTAAGCTATAGAAAATTAATGTGATTAACTTTTGCAAATGCTATGAAGTCTTCAGTATAGCTTCCTGTAATATGTTTATCATTTCAAGAACAAGCAGATCTTGGCTTTTATTTATCATAACCGTAATTGAGAAGGACATGGTTAGTGAATGTATGGTTGATGTATTTGACATGGGACAATTTGGACTTAAATGACTTTTAGCAGTAGTAATATTTTGAAATACAGAGTATGGACGATCTTCCTTGAATTGAACGCCACAATTGTCCTTTGAGTGGCATTCCAGGGACCACTGAAGAAGTCAGCTAAGTCAGAAAAAAGACTTGTTTTAATGTGAATCAATCATACAACTCAAAATATTAAGCACAGTCTATGCAATTACTTCCCTGCAGCATTTTGGAAACACTTGAGTGAAAATACTTTGCACATGAACATAATTTCTATCTGTAACTCTTTAAAGTAGCTTCATCTTTCTTCCAGAGCATGTGGCAGCTTTTGGGAATTGCATTTGAAGTATTGTATTGATAGAATTCTCATGTAATTAACTCTTCTTTCCTTCCACATTAAAAATGTAGTTGAAATTATTCTCAAGGTTGTTCTCAAGGCTTAAAAGTCCACCTGTGACCTAGTCTGGGAGAATTCTGAAATGATAGAAGGACTTCAAGAGAGCTAATTTTAATAAACTTAGAGAGGACTTAGGAAGGATTCCGTGGATGAGAATCCTCAAGGGGAAAACAACTCAAGATGCTTGGGAAATTTTAAAAAGTGAGATAATAAAAGCTGAATCTAGCACAATACCAACAAAGAGGAAAAGTAACAGCTCTCAAAAGAAACCAGCATGGCTGCACAAAGAACTCTCTGATAAATTGAAAAATAAAAAGGACAAGTATAGAAAGTGGAAAGAGGGACACATAACTAAGTCAGAATATCAGCAAATAGCCCGAGCCTGCAAAGATGAAGTGAGGAAAGCTAAGGCTCAAAATGAACTAAGGCATGCGACCAAAGTCAAAACTAACAAAAAAAGCTTCTTTCAACATGTAAAAAACAAGAAAAAAGTGAAGGAAACAATTGGTCCATTAGTGGGTGAAAGTGGCAAGAAGGTGACAAGCAATAGGGAGAAAGCAGAACTATTTAACTCATTTTTCACATCTGTCTTTACACAAAGGGAAAAAGCAGACCAACGTATCAAAAATAGTGCCATAAAAAACAGAATAGAAATACAAGTTAAGATAGGCAAGAAAATGGTAAGTGAGCACCTGTCCAGCCTAGATGAGTTCAAATCGCCAGGACCAGATGGATTACACCCCAAGGTTCTCAAGGAACTGGCAGATGTGATATCGGAACCACTGAACTATATTTTTCAAAGATCCTGGAACACAGGGGAACTACCAGAGGACTGGAAAAGAGCTGATGTAGTTCCCATCCTCAAAAAAGGAAAAAAAATGGATCCAGACCTATTAGCCTGACCTCAATACCTGGGAAGATCCTGGAAAAGATAATCAAACAATGAATCAGTGAACACCTACAAGCAAACCAAGTCATTACTAAAAGCCAACACGGATTTGTCAAAAACAGATCATGCCAGACAAAATTGCATTCTTTGACCAAGTGACAAAATTAGTGGACCAGAGGAATGCTGTGGATATAATTTACTTGGACTTCAATAAGGCATTTGACAAAGTAGATCACAACCTACTACTTGATAAGATAGAAAAATGCGGGTTAGACAGCATCACCACCAGATGGGCCCGTAGCTGGCTGTCCGGCTGTACTCAGCATGTGGTCCTCAATGGAACTGCATCTACATGGAGAAAAGTGTGTAGTGGGGTGCCCCAGGGCTCTGTTCTGGGCCCGGTGCTCTTCAACATATTTATCAACGATTTGGATGAGGGTATAGATGGGGAACTCATCACATTTGCAGATGATACCAAACTGTCAGGAATAGCCAATACTCTAGAAGACATGCTTAGGATACAGGAGGATCTGGACAGACTTGAACACTGGGCACTATCTAACAAAATGAAATTCAATGATAAAAAAAGTAAGATTCTACATTTAGGCAAGAAAAAACAAATGTACAGGTATAGTATAGGGGGTACCTTGCTCAATAATAGTAACTGTGACAGGGATCTCGGAGTCCTAGTGGAAAATCACTTAAATATGAGCCAGCAGTGTGCTGCAGCTGCCAAAAAAAGCCAACACAGTGCTAGATTGCATTAACAGAAGGATTGAATCAAGATCACGCGAAGTATTAATACTACTCTACAATGCCTTGGTAAGGCCACACTTGGAATACTGCATCCAGTTTTGGTCACCACGATGTAAAAAAGATGTTGATACTCTAGAAAGAGTACAGAGAAGAGCAACAAAGATTATTAGGGGACTGGAGGTTAAAACATATAAGGAAAGGCTGATGGAATTGGCTATGTCTAGTTTAATGAAGAGAAGGACGAAGGGGGACATGATAGCAGTGTTCCAATATCTCAGGGGCTGCCACAAAGAAGAGGGAGTCAAGCTATTTTCCAAAGCACCTGAAGGCAGGACAAAAAGCAATGGATGGAAACTAATCAAGGAGAGAAGCAACCTAGAACTAAGGAGAAACTTCCTGACAGTTAGAACAATTAACCAGTGGAATAACCTGCCTCCAGAAGCGGTGAATGCTCCAACACTGGAAGTTTTTAAGAAGAAACTGGACAGCCATTTGTCCGAAATGGTATAGGGTTACCTGCCTGAGCAGGGGGTTGGACTTGATGAACTCCAAGGTCCCTTCCAACTTTATTATTATTACTATTATTATCGATCATCGCACAGTCAGCCAGATGTTCAGACTGGATTTGGCATTTTGTCTACCTATCGAGTCCTTACCCAGGACCTGGGATAGGCAGATGTGGATGTTTGATGGTATTACAGATATCGTCGCAGGATGGAAGCAGTTCCTAATAAGGCCGCCTTTTGCAATTGACTAATAGCGAATTTGTCAATGCCAATGGTGTTCAAGTGGTGCTCCAGTTGTTTTGGGATTGCACCCAAGGAGCCTATGACTATTGGTACTACCCTTGCTTGCTTTTGCCACAGTCTTTCTATTTCTATTTGTAGGTCTTTGTATTTTGTTATCTTCTCCAGTTCTTTCTCTTCTATTCTGCTATCTCCAGGCACTGCCACGTCCACTATCCAGACTTTTTTGTCTTTCTTATCGACAATTGTTAAGTCTGGGGTGTTATGTTGCAGGTGCTTGTCTGTTTGAATTCTGAAGTCCCAGAGCAGTTTAATTTTATCATTTTCTATGACTTTCTCTATTTTATGATCCCACCAGTTTTTACTTACAGGCAAATGATATTTTTTGCAGATCTTCCAATGCACCATTGTTGCTACTTTGTCATGCTGCTGCTTGTAATCAGTTTGTGCAATCTTCTTGCAACAGCTTACCAAGTGGTCCACTGTTTCTTCAGCTTCTTTGCATAGGCGGCACTTACTGTCTGTTGCTGTCTTCTCAATTTTGACTTTGTATGCATTTGTCCTTAAGGCTTGGTCTTGTGCAGCCAGAATTAGTCCCTCGGTCTCTTTCTTCAATTTTCCTGCTCTTAGCCATTGCCAGGTTTTATTATTATCTGCTTTCCCAGCTATTTTTTTAATGTATTGGCCATGTAGTGCTTTGTCTTCCCATGCCTCTATTCTGTTCTTCATTTGGTCTTTCTTGTAGGCCAGTTTGGTCTCTCCAGTAGTCAGTAAGCCTTCCTGATATACTAATTTCAGTGCATCTTCATCATTGTTCTTCAGATATTCTTCCAAAGCCATTTTTTCTTCTTCAACCATCTGATGTACTTGTAGCATTCCACGCCCACCTATTTGCCTTGGTAGATAAAGTCTATCAATGTCACTGCGTGGATGAAGGGCATGATTCATTGTCATTATTTTTCTGGTCTGCCTATCCATTGCTTTTAGTTCTGCTTGAGTCCAGTCCACTATTCCAGCTGTGTACCTAATGACTGGGATTGCCCAGGTGTTGATTGCCTTTATGGTATTTCCTCCATTGAGTTTGGATTTTAAGATCTTCTTCACTCTCTTGATGTATTCACCTCTAATCTTTTTCTTGACTTCAGTGTGCTTGATGTTGTCAGCTTGAAGGATACCCAAGTATTTGTAGTACTCTTCCTCATCCAGACTCTTAATGTTATTTTCGTGGGGCATCTTGATTCCTTCAGTTTTCATTATTTTTCCTTGTTTGATAGTAAGTGTGGCACATTTGTCCAAGCCAAACTCCATTACAATATCTTGGCTATATATACGGACAGTGTTGAGCAGCGATTCTATTTCAGATGATGTTTTTCCATACAGCTTCAGATCATCCATATAAAGGAGGTGGGATAGTCTGGCAGATGTTTTTGATGTTTGATAGCCATGTCCTGAGTTATTCAGTATTGTTGACAGAGGAAACAGTGCAATAACAAATAGTAATGGTGATAATGAATCTCCTTGAAATATTCCTCTCTTGATATTAACCTCTCCCAGCCTCTCACCATTGATCTGCAACTGTGTCTTCCATTGTGCCATCGATCTTTGCACAAATTTTCTGATGTTTCTACTGACTCCTGTTATTTCTAGGCACTTTATTATCCAATCATGTGGCAGAGAGTCAAATGCCTTTTTGTAGTCAATCCATGCCACATTCAGGTTGGT